AGGGGAATAGTTCTTTTGTTAATTATTGCTGCTCTTCAAAACAATGACAGCAGATTATCAAAGACATCCCTCAGCTGAAGGAGAACCGGAGAAGAAATGATTGGTTCTTCCCTTTGAGGTCTGCTGTTCCTTTATGCTTAGGGGTTTGAGGGAGGTGGGAAAAAACCTGTCTCATCTAGTCAGCTAGCCCCCAAGAGCTGTTTATATAAATCGTAATTTTTGTATTGTCCATGTAAAATTCTGTAGTTTTTTTTCCACAAGAGTAACCTGAAGCAGGTAGATCTCTGCAACTGCCCGTGTGTGCTCTCTTACATCATTGCCTCCCAGTAAGGGACATTCATTCCCCCAGCAGAAGACTTTTAGGGGCTGCCCAGAGAAGCAGAGGGAGATACAGGGAGAGTTCATGTGTCTAAAATGTTCTGCTTTTAAACACTGAAACATACTGATTAACAGGGTGCAAAATACCTGCCCCAAACTGTTAATATTTGGTGCGCATTCCATTCTGTATTTATGATGCAACACATTAGAGAGTCTTGCTTCATATACAGGCTCTGGTTTCAAAGCATCATGTTTGCAAGTCCACTCAAATGGAAATACTTGTTAAATATTTACTACCTTAGTGTCTTATCCTTGGATACCAAGATGTTTTTCCTGCTGCTTTTTCCAAATACTGGAAAAAGTGCTGTAGAAAATAAGTATGTCATTTGTGAAAGTTTACCTTGATAACTGTATAGCTAATTTTGTGAAAATAAAATATTGAATGCAGATATTTCACATGATGAGAAACCTAATCTTTGCTCTGTGTGGGGTATAAAGACAAGTCTAGAAAATTATCCATGGCTGCAAAAGCATTTATGCTTCAGTTCAACTTTTCGAAAAGGACTGTCTTATTTATGTGGGTTTTATTATTGCTATGAAGTCTTTTCCAGTAAGTCACTGACAGGAGATTGACCCAGTTTGATGGAGCTTCTCCTTAACTTAAACAAATTAATTATCATAATGGAGTATGCAAATATCATCTAATCAGTGCCACATGGCAAAATTTTTGTTATGCCAATCATGCTGGAGACAGCACGACAGTCCTTGCTTCTTCTAAGAAGTCCACTTGGAAATGGTAATAGAATGTTTGCTTTGATTGGAGTAGGCAGAAAGGATGAGCCAAAGAGCTTCAGACATATTTACATTGCAACTTTCTGTTGTGGCATTAAAACACCAGAAAATTGATTCTCCAAATTCTGGTTCAGAGACAACTTCAGAATATAAACCAACGTCTAATTTTATGCCCTCTGGGTATAATTATCCTATTCTCTTTGTCATTAAGGATGAAACTCATTGTCATCTCCGATGTTTTGCGTTTTAAAAATTTGAAAGCCAGTGTTTGTTTCTTTCTCTTCTTGTCCTGTACAATCAATATGCCTTTCTGAAACTGCTGTATACCTTTATTAGTTTCTGCTTTTTTATTTCTTTTCAAGCAGAAGGTTGCAAGAACCATGTTCATGTTCATTATGAAATGAGTTCTTCTTCACAAGAAGCTGCAGAAGGGTGAATCCTGAGCAATGGGGAAAGCTGTAGTTAGGCTGTTTATTTGTGGTTTTTTTCTAACTACTGTGTTTATGAAACTGGGTTCTCTGTGTACACCTTTGAAAGTAGGGCTATGATTAAATATTTACAGGTATGGCATGAGGAGTAGCTAATGAATGTCTCCAGTATTTTCAGCAAACAGTAACTGTGGTATGTAATGCATATGAAACAAAAGTTTTGTTCAGAAGTCTTACTAGTATAGTAAAGCACTTAATGCTCCAACTTGTATTGATATATAACAACAATGTCCTCAGTTAAGGTATTTCCTTCTATTTAAATTGCCGTGAATGCCACAGTATTTTAGTTCACAGAAAATCTAGTCAAAAGCTTAGCTTGCTCTATGGCTTTTTTCAAAAAGTATGTAAAAATTCTGAAGTTATGTGTGTCTGCTGTTTGCATTCACGTAAAAGGAAATGAGTATATGATTTACATGCTGGCAGGATTGTCAGTTTGTGTGTTAGAAACCGTGGGGCTGCTTCTGCATCTTTGGCGTAGGAGATGGAGCCCGGTGTTTGTAGGGAGCAGTAGGTGGTGGGATAGAGTGAAGTGCAGCAGAGCTTGAAGCCCCTCTGCTTCTCTGGGGAGAGCTTGTGTTCCCCCGAAGCCCCTTCGTACTTTACACACAACATAGGTGGGAGCTATTGCCATGAGCACTGGCCAGTAATACCATTTTGTGCATTGTTTTTTTGCTTTACTATAGAAGCCATATATCTGTGTGATGCACCTCAGGAGCATGGGAGAGATGGGGAAGTCCATTGCACAAGGTAATAATGTACTTTCCAAAGCTCAGAATTTGCCCAAGCTTACATCGGTTCTCTCTAGAAAGTGGTCAGGCAGTTGATGTCCTGCACCTGCTGCTTGTGCTGCTACTTCAGAGCATTTGGTTGCTCTCTTATCTGCTTATCTGCTTATTTGCTTATGTTTCTTGTTATGGAGAGCACCAAAATCTCTCTGGGATGTGCTGAGGACTAGGGAAGCTGCTTCTTCTGCTGCATGTTTAGTAACAGAGGCACTGGAAAAGGTTGTATTTACTTAATAAAAACCAAGTATGTCTGTTTGATTCCAGTTTTGAGCTTTCATTTAGAAGACAGTTTAAAAACCAGAAAGTTTAACATTTTCTCCTTTTTTAAAAAACTTTGTAATTTTTAATTGAACTTAATTTAACTTCATGGAGCAGTGATGGCTGCAAGACTTCTGTCTTGACTGTTCCTGACACCTGCCAACACCTTTTTCACATCTGTTGGGGAGAGTCCTCAACGGGGCAACAAACCAGTGTTTCCCTCCCTGAAAAGAGAGAGTGCTGCCTCTGCTGTAGGCTACATCTTTGGTTTTCATGTTTTGTGACAGTAATGTTTTTGCTGCTTGGTGGCAGAGCACAGAAGAGATGCAAGTTGAAACCTTTAAAACATACAGTGATCCCTTCCTAAAGTCCATAGGTGAAGTTTTATTGGCTTGTTTATTTTTGGTAATATGCCTATGATATTCCTCTAAGGTCTTTACCATTTGAAAGTTGAAAGCTGTGTGATAAAAACAGACTTGTAATGAAACACAACCTCCTTATAGAAGTTTCACTAAAAATAGTTCTGGTGGTGCCCTGGGGGTGTTCATCAGCTAGCGACAGCGGCTGCATTTTCACAGCAGGAAACGCAGGGCTGGTGAGGTCAAGGAGGATGAGTCTGTATTCCTGTGGGGAGCTTGGCAGGAGCATCCAAGGGTTTTTGAACTTTTACAGGTAAAATGAGTGTGGGTTTGTGACAATATTGTTTTAAAATACCTGGAAAGCTGAAAGAAGCCCAGAAGGATTCCTTTTCCATCTTTCAGTGTGTGTTTGTTTTAGGATCGTCAGGTATTATAGGTCTAGCTGACCTTTACTTAAAACTTTCGCGTTTCAAAACTAGAACATTCCAACTTAATATTGATCAATCTCTGCATACTTCTTTTGAAACAGAATTGCTAAGTTACAATCCTGGTTTTTGCTTTACTTCTTTTGTGCTTTTGAAAACAGTGCCCTGATTTACTCTTTGCAAAATGACTCACTGAAATGTCTGCATTTCCTAATCCCTACTCTGCGTGCTCTTCCTTTTCCAAATGATGAACCTGTAAAATCTGTTTTACAGGAAGATTTTCTGACTTCCTTATGCTCCTAAGTGCAAAATGGTATCTCTTGGGAGCCTAGATGCAAGTGACCACGTTCAGCACATAGTTTGACTGAGGTTACTGCTTGATCCCTGACTGGTGCCAACAGACAGGAGAGGTCCTGCTGGACTAGAGATTTCACTGGGCTTGCAGGAACGTGATTACAATAAAAAACCCCTGACAGATGTCAACGTGATAGGATTCGAGCAGTCACTGCTTTTGTTTTTGTGTGGGAAGGAAACTTCATCAGAAACACGGATGAAATTCCAGCCTTATCTTAGGGAATGCATGTGGGTTTCAGGCACGCAGCAAGAGAAGAGAGCCAGCGCTTTTTCAGGCTTTTTGCTTCTCTCACCGTGTGCAGAGGATAATCTGCTGCACCTTAATTTTAAAGTTTTTTGAACTCTGCTGGGATTTGAAATGAGTATTGTCACAATGTGCTTGTGATGTCGCTTCCTTTGTTTGCCTATTGCCATATGCCCTGGCCAGCTCCATAGGAGACCTGTCTGGAGTGCCTTTTAATGTTTAGATCCAGCAGTGATTAGAATACACTAATGCCCAGTGGGTATATGTGTCATTTTTTAACAGCTGCCGAGCTTTCTCCCTGCTGCTCCAATTAACACATTCGGCGCACACTTGCCGGTGAGTGGGCTGTGTGTATGGATTAAACCACTTTGCTGTTTATTCATCCAGTGCATGAGATGCCAGAAATGGATCGGCGTGTTTCCTGTCCTTACAACAAATGAAATCAAACGTGCTCCTGAGCCTGTGCCCGGGTAGATATGAGGGCAGCATTTAACTGCTGAATGGAAACCTGTTTTGCCTTGAGATATGGTTCAGTCCATTGACTAACATCTATCCCCGCCTCCCAGCCCCTCTTCAAATGATGGAGACACAGGATAGAGAGCTCTCAGTGCTGGGCTTCCCCTTGCTGGCAAGCAGGTCTCTTCAACTTTGTCCTCTGATGCTTTAATAACAGCTTGAAATCCTGAAATTCTCCTTTTGCTTCAATGCTTTCCTCCTTTATTTATTTTCAGGTTGAAATATTCCAGTCACTAGATTTGATAAAGTGTGTCTGTGTGTGTTGTCCCTTTTTTTTAAAAAAAAAGGGAAAACAATATGCTTCCTAGTCACAGCTGAGATAAGGGAGGGGTTGTTTGATGGTAGCGGAGCGGCTGGTGGGAGCTGCAGCTCTGCTCCAGTGCTTGATTCATGCTGGGACAGCAATTTGTGAAGCACAGGGCGAAGGGGGCTGCTGGCTGGGGCTGTGAGTGAGGAAGGAGATGGAGCGCTTCTTGGGCTTTGTCAAGCAGATAAGAAGATCGAGAAGAAGAAAAGGCAAAAAGTACCGGCCAGAGGAGGATTACCACGAGGGCTATGAGGATGTGTACTATTATGCCTCAGAACATTTCCGAAGTAAGTATTTTGCATAACCTCGTTTTCCTTTGGCTGTGATAAATGTTATGTTCTTAAGATGCTTAAACTCCAAAAATGCAAGCGCTATTTCTCCCTTGATAGAACCCGAGCCTCATGTATGTATTAAAAGTCAGTTCCTGTGAGAGCTCTTTCTGGCTCTGCTGCCGATTAACAATACAAAGCATCTGAAGTGGCACAGAAGCTCGAAAAGTAAAGAGGGACTGTCTGCAGACCTGGTGAGATTTCAGATGCAGTTAATCCAGTCTGACTGCTGGGAACCTTTTGTTAAAATGCTGTATTGAGAGGTGAGTAGGGTGGCGGTAGCCCTTGTAGAGTGCCTTTGGAAGGCTGTGTGGATATTTTTTAAAGCACTACAGAGGCAGTGAGCGCTCGTTTGTAAGTTGAAGTTGATGATTAATGTTTGGTATTGAGGTAGAGTCAGTTTACTAAGCCTCTGCTGTGACCTGGTCTTTTCAATAGTGAGTAAATTGGGTGGGCTGGTTCCTCGCTGCAGGTCCAGGACCACTCCTGGAGAATTAAGTGGGGATTTTTTTTTTGCTGTCACTCACGTGATGGCACTCAGAAGCTCTGCCAAAACCAAAATAAACTACCCGCTCAGAAATCCCTGTGTGAACTGTATGCTCGACCCTGCAGCCTTCTTAGAGTTTGTCTGCTGTGCCTGTCAGGCTTCAGAGCTGCTGGCCTGCCATGGTCTTCTGGAGGAGAGGATGTGCCCAGAGATGCCCACAGGGAAGGTGGGAAGGAGGGAAGCAATGCTCAGCCCCTTCCTGGGGTCTTGTGCAGCACTGTCAGGGCGAGGTGGTGGCAGTAGAACCAGCCATGAGCAGAAATTGCCTATTTCTGCTGTTTTGGCCACTGGTTTGGGACCTTTGCAGTGAAGCTGTGCCTTGTTGAGCTGCTGAAGTTTGATGCACTTTTTTGTTGTTCTGTACCATGTGAGTGGCTGTCAGTATTTTTTTTGCTTCATTTTCACTTTGCTAAAATAAATCATGGTGTTGTTTGTTTTAAGATAGAATGATAAATGTGATTGTGCCTTACAGCACCAGAGAATTGCTGTCTTGTGAAACATGAGGAAACAAAAGAGTTGCTTTTATTGGCTTTCTCCCAGTGTGCCATGCTTGCCTATCTCCGAGAGAAATTAATGGAGGGTGCTTGGTTGTTTACTGGGCTGCTTCTTGATACAATTTTGTTTGTTTTTCATTTTTAAGCAAATTCATCATGCTGATATTAAACTATGTAATTTATTTATGTAGTTAAGAGGGAGTTCTTGCAAAAAAAAGACCTGCTGGGGGGCAATGCAGGCATAATGGGTAACATAGTGACATAAATTCTGCTACACAAAATCTACTACAGAAGAATCAAAAAGTTTTAAATCTGTTAAGCACTGCAAAATTTGAAAATGATCTATGTTTGTGAAAGCATGTAACTTTTTCTCACTTTAATATGTAAATCAAAATAACATGTCAAATCCGTATGTCAGAATATTTCCCTAGCTGATTGTTGTTGTCGAAGGTCCTTTAAAGAAGAAAGCAAAGCCCCTTCAAAAACTGTCAAATGTAATAATGATTTCTTGAATGACAATTAATAAATTATTAACTCCTAACTTAATGTATGGCACTAAGATTGAGGCAAATATCTAATAGGTTTTTCCTTTTACTCTACTTAGAAAATAAAAGAATAATATACACTTCAGCTTGTGGAGGTCATAAGTATTTCAGACTGGATGAAATGTGTGTCAGATTTTGAAGTGCTGTTTACAGCAGTGTTCAAGTACTCAGATTGAATTGAACTCAGAATAGCACACAGCCCTGTGGAGGTGGATGCACAGAGTTAGCTGCTTCTTACAGTTACTTAAACCAAACAGTCACAGGAGATTTGAGCCATGCAGTCTTCATAGAGATATCATCCCAAGCACAGTTCCTCCTCAAGTGCTTTTGTCTGGTCTTTCCATGTGCTTTATGTGTTAGTTTTCCTCAGATAGGTGTGGTAGTTTCTTAAAGCGATGTGCAAAATCTGAAAAGAAGCTGCTGGTGCTACTACAAATGCTCTCTTCAAATTGAATTTCATGTATTTGGGACAATGAAATGTTTCATATTTAATTTAATTATGGTCTGGTGTTACACTGTTTACAGTACAAATTTAGAGTAATTGCAGTGCTTTTAATAGCCATTCCTTCTGCAGTCGTTTGCTTAGAAGAATGTGTGCTTGCAGGAAAGATTGTATTTATTGTTACGATTTTTAGAATATCAGAGCTAATGAAATCAAATGCCTATTGTTCATTCAACTGAATAGAGCTGGAGCTTTTTTAGATTTAGTTTCCTTTCTCTATGTTGTTAGGCATCCCTTCTCCATCATCATTTATGAGTTATATATCCAATTAGCCAGTACGTTTGAAGATTGTCTGAGACAATCACTTTATGAGCTTGTTATTCTCTCTCTCCCCCATTTGTAATACAGCTTAGAGTGTTGTACGGGGAGGCAGAATTAATGGAAAAATGCAGGAACTACATTAGAATAACCGCAGGATCAAACAAAGGCAACAAAGTTAAAAACAAAATAGGCCTCTGGGAATCACAGGAAAAAGGTGACTTTAGTTTGTCCTCAGCCCAGCTGTGCCTGGATATTCACATATTGTCACTCCCACTGTTTGGTATACTGTCTTTACTCCTCTGAAGCTTTACCATGGAAGATGTTAGCTGTGATATTGGGACACAGCTGGATGAAGAGAACATGCAATGCTGCCTAAAGCTCCGCAAGTTAAAAAAGATACCCCAGCTCCTGAGGCAGATGTGTTTTTTCTTGGACATTTCATCCACTTGTGTTCAGTTAATGGATAACCTTATTTTGACATGCAACACCAGCTCTCCTATCTTTCTGAAGTGTCTGTGCTATGTAATGCTAGAAAAACTGAAGTAATAAAAGTGATTTTGGTACACAAGCATATACTGACATATACAGGCATCATACTCATTTCAGTGCAGCTTTGCAGTGTGAACATAGTGGGTGACGAAATTGCTACCCAACCTACGCAGACAAGTTGGTGCTCATTGTATAAACACTTTAAAAAGCATCGTGCTTATCTCGAGCAGCATTACGGCACTGCCATTCAACCTATTCTTTACAAAGAGGCTTTGCATGAAAAAGGCCCTTACTATATTATTACAAAGACTGTTTGCAAACCATCAGGAATGCTGTGTAGCAGAACTTCCCAGAATGCTCCCAGAAATGACATATCCTATTGCTGAAGTCAGGGTGTTGTGCCAAGAGCTTTGAGTTTCAGCCTAGTCTTGAGTGGGAGTGTGGTTTTAAGGCATCATGGGACCCAGCCTGACTTGGTCACCTCTGACCAAAACAAGCAGTTCTTCCCACACCCTAAAATAATTTCAGCAGTAAGTCTTTATTTTTCAAAATATTTGGAAGGATTTGGATTTCTTCCGACCTATTTTGGAACTTCGCAGGTTTCATGAAACATGCAGGCCTAGAGGGGAAATGCATCTTGTTAAATTTTGCCTTATGTTACTTCTGGTGTCTGTCATCCATCTCCTGAGAGATCTTTTTTTCTCATTGGTGGTTCTTATGATGATGATGTTCTTCTCAACATGGTTCACAGCACAGTCTGTTGGCATAAAGATTTTACTTCCTATGTAGATGCAATGGCAATATTAAGTAAGGTGGTTCTTTTTTCTCATTGGTGGTTCTTATGATGATGATGTTCTTCTCAACATGGTTCACAGCACAGTCTGTTGGCATAAAGATTTTACTTCCTATGTAGATGCAATGGCAATATTAAGTAAGGATCAGAAAAAGCAATGTTTGAAGAATTCTGCTAGTAAACACCTACTAACCTGAAAGGTCCCATGATTTTACCCTTGACCTTAAAATGTTCCATTTAGTCACCAGGGTCCAATGAATAACTTTCTTCTATCCTTCATCAAGGCCTAGTATATGTTGTGTAACAAGAGCATTGATGTATTAGACAAAGTAATCTGCCATAGTCTGCATCTGCAGTGTAGTCATGTATCATTTCCCTCTCTGCTGCCAGTTAATTATTTCATAATTCTGGTGTGAGAATCATCTGGTTCCTTAGTTAAGGACCATCAACCTCTTGAAATTTGTTCCCTAAATACATGTGATGGTCTTTCCATTGGTTTGTCCTTCTCCCTGCCTGTGTCATCACTAGAAAATGAGGGGAAGGTATTTGACTCCTAGCCTAGCAAATAAGGTAAAAATGAAAAACTGAAGGTTTTATATGACTCAGAATTGAAAATGTCCTTTTCATTGGCCAAAATCCGGGAATTAATAAAATTAATATCGTACATATGATATACTTCTTGGGATGGTATCAGCAGAAAAACTCCACTTAGGTGTTATTCTCTAACACAGCTCAATGTTATGGTGCAGAAACTCCCACACCATAGCTGCCAAAATGTTAGGACTAAATGTCATTGCATTTCATACCCGAAATGGTTTTAAAGCTGTATTAAGTACATAAGACAAAACACCAAGGGGAGTGACATGCCTATGGTTTCTTAATACTGTGGTAAGTAGCAACATCATTCTTGTCAAGATTTTCTCCATTTTGTAAATTGGTACAAATAGTTCTTGTTTGCAGCAATCTCACTAATTTGATTTGGGTTGCAGAAGAGTTAATAATTTTAAGAGTCATGTGGTGACAAGGGAATTGAGTATCACTTGCTCAAGCTGCAGAGATGTTAATTGATCCTGAGGATGAGGAATGGAGGACAACTGCTTTTCATTTTACAATGATTGTGTGCTGCTAGTTTGCAGTTTAACTGGATGTGCTTTTGTGTGGGGGTTGTTCACCTATCACAGATCTTGTCATGTCAGTACAGTAAAATCTCAGCTTTCATAGAAACTGAAGTATTTGTTGATGTCTACAAGAAAAAAAAGGCTTGGTAACCTGAAGAGAGGATATCACAGACTTTGAAAACACAATGAAAATAATATTTAAAAAAAAT